ATCCTAATGCCAGCCAAAGCAATGTAGACTCGACCGCCACTCCTCTTCCTTAGATAGTTTTATTTTCCATGTTTTGTATGTTCCATGTTGTCCTTCTGATGGACTATGTATTGCTCGTGAAATGATAACGTTTTGTTTTTGACTTGTTGTGGTCTTCAATAATGTTTGTTGGTAATCTTGACTTGATGTCTTTATTATGACTTCTCGCGATCACTTGGCTAACCTTATTCTAACTGTTTACATACGACCATCCATCCTCATGGCCTTAGTCATGATGGATTTTTTCTTTAAAACGCATGCCCACCCTCAAAGGGGTGGTCGTTACATACGACCATCCAGCCTCATGGCCTTAATCATGACGGATTTTTTTCTTTAAAACGCATGCCCACCCTCAAAGGGGTGGTCGTTACATATGACCATCCAGCCTCATGGCCTTAATCATGATGGGTTTTTTTTCTTTTGAACGCATGCCCACCCTCAAAGGGGTGGTCGTTACATACGACCATCCAGCCTCATGGCCTTAATCATGATGGATTTTTTTCTTCAAAACGCATGCCCACCCTCAAAGGGGTGGTCGTTACATACGACCATCCAGCCTCATAGCCTTAATCGTGATGGGTTTTTTTTCTTTTGAACGCATGCCCACCCTCAAAGGGGTGGTCGTTACATACGACCATCCAGTCTCCGGGCCTTAATCATGATGGATTTTTTTTCTTTAAAACGCATGCCCACCCTCAAAGGGGTGGTCGTTACATACGATCATCCAGCCTCATGGCCTTAGTCATGATGAATTTTTTTTTCTTTTGAACGCATGCCCACCCTCAAAGGGGTGGTCGTTACATACGACGATCCAGCCTCATGGCCTTAGTCATGATGGATTTTTTTTTTCTTTTGAACGCATGCCCACCCTCAAAGGGGTGGTCGTTACATACGACCATCCAGCCTCCTGGCCTTAATCATGATGGATTTTTTTTCTTTAAAATGCATGCCCACCCTCAAAGGG